TAAGGAAACTGGATGCCATATTTGAAAAGTCTGCCAGGAAGCCAGTATTCAGAAGGTGCTCAATCTATGCATATTTCCCTCCCTTCTTCGGAACCCTCAGAGTCCTCCCCATTCATACCACCTCATCCCTGTTCTCTGGAGCTCTGGGGGAGCCCCCATGATTTGTTCTTTCACTAACTTCCTGGTTAAGTTCAACCGGTCAGTCCCTGAACACCAGAACCCTTAGCCAGGAACTTCACATGAGCTGCCAGGCAGCTCTGCCAGGCAGGAAACAACTTTCAACCTATTGGAGATCACACAGCCAAGCTGGCACTTTGGCTCCAGATCTGACCTGATCCTGCCCAGACACTATCTAGAACCCCCAAGGGAGGCAGGGGCACCCAGCACATGAGTCCTGGGATATGAAAGAGGCCATGCTGGAGGGTTTGGGGCTTCTTGGGAGGGTCTTCTGGGGCCGTGGGACCAGAGCAAGCCTGAGCCTGGACTTCTGTCCCAGGATGTGCCCCCTAAGGTGATGCCCAGCATTATAGACGAATACCTAGGCAGCATTTCCGACAGAGAAGCCAAACGCAATGCTTTCCAGGAGTTTCTGGCTGACATGATCATCATCTTACCTGCTGTGAATTTCTCTAGAAGCCTCCAAGGTGAGCCTATCCCTGTTCCCCTGCCCCACACTTCCCATTTTGGCCCAGGAGCTGGGTTATCACAGGCTACATGGCCCACACCAGGCTGCTGCCCCCATACCCCACTTCCTCCCCAGGACACAGACATGACTCTGGCAGGTCACTCTGCAGGCCAGTAAACCAAGGCTCAGAGAGGTGCAGTGACTCATCAAAGGTCACCCAGCAGGGCTCATCACCAACTCTCAGGGATTCACCTGACTCATGAGTGAATTTTTCCCACATTCAGCACTTCTCCTGGGAGAGAAGTCTTGCTTCCTCCAAGCCTGGTGGCTAGTCCCTGACACAGCATTAGAAGAGCTCCAAGCTCTTATCTTCATGACCTTGAGCAAGACACCTGCCCCCTCTGTGCCTTAGCTTCCTCATCGGTAAAACAGCGACAGTAACAGTCTAATTGGTATGTTGCCAGGAGGGTGAAATGAATGATGACACAGAAAGCGCATGGCGTGGTGAGTGACAACCAGCAAGTACTCAGCACGTGCTTGCTGACAGTGAAGTTGTCACCATCAGAACCGTTACTGGATTGGTGTTACTACGAGCCCAGCCTGCCAAAGGCAGGACCCCATCAGGCTGAGGGTACCTAGCCCTGAGGCAGCCCTCTCTCCACAGATTCCGGAGTCCCCATCTTTTTCTATGAGTTCCAGCATCGACCCAGTTCTTTCGCGAAGATCAAGCCGGAGTGGGTGAGGGCTGACCATGGTGCTGAGATAGCCTTCATGTTCGGGGGTCCTTTCCTCATGGACGAGAGCTCCCTGCTGGGTGAGGACACAGAGACAGGCGATCCTTGGGCTACAGGCTCCAATGGGCTAGGCTGGGGCTTGTAGGCACACACGTCTCCAGTCCGCACTGGGGACCCTTGGGTCCTCTCCAGGACCCACCTGACTCTGATCCAGGTCTGTTTCTCCCATAGCCTTTCCAGAAGCTACAGAGGAGGAGAAGCAGCTGAGCCTCACCATGATGGCTCAATGGACCCAGTTTGCCAGGACAGGGTGAGTGATGGGCAGGCATACCTGACTTTGGGCCTAGATGACTCGCATCTTCCCCCAGTGGATAGTGCGGGAGGCCTTAGCCTTCATTCATTCCTCCCTCCCAGGGACCCCAATGGTGAGGGGCTGCCTCTGTGGCCCTCCTACAACCAGCTGGGGCAATACCTGGAAATCAGCCCGACACCACGAGTTGGCCACAAGCTGAGAGAAGCCCGAATGCATTTCTGGACGGAGACACTTCCTGCCAAGATCCAGCAGTTGCAGCAAACACAGAAGGGCAGGAAGGCCCAGGGGGAGCTCTGAGGGGTGGCACAGTCCCAGCAACACAGCTTCTTCCTCTCTCTGCTAAGAAACTTTAGCTTAAAGCAAGCTGATGTACAGATATGTCCCTGAAAGAATCAGTCCCTCCACGACTGGCATTGTGCTCTGTTGAAATGTCACCTGCTGGGGTGCCTGGGTGGCTCAGTGGGTTAAAGCCTCTGCCTTCGGCTCAGGTCATGATCCCAGGGTCCTGGGATCGAGCCCCACATCGGGCTCTCTGCTCAGAGGGGAGCCTGCTTCCTCCTCTCTCTCTGCCTACTTGTGATCTCTGTCTGTCAAATGAATAAATAAAATCTTTAAAAAAAAAAAAAGAAATGTCACCTGCTGCCTTCTGCAAGGGCCTTTGTACAGACTCTTCCGTCTTCTTGAAGTGCCTTTCCCCCTTACTTCATGGTTAGTCACAGCTTATTCTTCAAGCCGGGGATCCCCCTCCTCCAAGAAGCTTTCCCTGCCTTCTTTGGGCCTAAGTCTGTGTCCATTACAGTATAGTCCACCCCAGACTAGCACTGTCTGTGTCTCTTTCACTTCTCTGAGGGTGGCAGTCAGCTTGACCCTGCTCTGTGTCTCCCACACAAGGGTCAGGCAGGACCTGGAGTCAGAGATGTCTGATGAACGAGTAAAAAAGAGTATGAGAATGGCGGCTGCTGGATGTGAAACCAGGCTCTTCAGCCACCAAAGCTATGCTCAGGGGTGCCTGGGTGGCTCAGTGGGTTAAGCCTCTGCCTTCGGCTCAGGTCATGATCTCAGGGTCCTGGGATCGAGCCCCGCATCAGGTTCTCTGCTCAGCAGGGAACCTGCTTCCCCTTCTCTCTCTGCCTCCCTCTCTGCCTACTTGTGATCTCTCTGTCAAATAAATAAATAAAATCTAAAAAAAAAAACAAAAAAACTATGCTCAGTCCTGCACAGATGTCCTCCTTGGCCAGGAGGGTGGATGGACAAGGCAGTCCTGGGGTATAGGGGAGTCCTGAGACCTCAGGGGATCCAGCCTAGAACAGATCTTACCCCCCACCAAGCAGCAATCACCCCCAAAGCCTGACTCAGGTTGAGGGAAGTCACTTTCTCTGTGCTGTGCACACCTGTCTCCTGCATAAGACAAAACAGAATCCAGCTAGGCCAGAGCCTGACTCTTAGGATATGAGATGTGAGTTTCCCAGCCCTAGCACTTCGACCCTTGGCTGGGCTCCTCCCTCCCCTCCCAGATGGGGGAGACCAACATCTAGCAGAGCTCACCACAGTCCCCACAGCACCTACAAGGACATAGGAGAACAGGTTGGGGGAGGGTGTCTGGACTAGTGCATCAGTCAGGCTGTTGTCACAGAGAAAAGAAAAGACCTACCCACTCAGGCTAAAACAGGTGAAAAGGAACCAGAGATTTTTGAGTGAGGACAAACATTTCTTTTTTTGAGGACCAATGCCCCATTCCCTTGAAACATCTGGATTTTAATACATACCACAAAAACTTTCCCTGTCCCCACTAGTTCATCCTGCAGGTCCAATCCCACATATATGCTTCCTCAGTCAAAATTCCTGACTGCTTGGGGCACCTGGGTGGCTCACTGGGTTAGGCCTCTGCCTTCAGCTCAGGTCATGATCTCAGGGTCCTGGGATCGAGCCCCGAGTCAGGCTCTCTGCTCAGCTGGGAGCCTGCTTCTTCCTCTATCTCTCTCTGCCTGCCTCTCTGCCTACTGTGATCTCTGTCTGTCAAATAAATAAATAAGAAAAAAAAAAAAGTTCCTGACTGCTGAGAGTTACATGAAAAGCACTTGCAGTTGGGACCCATGCTGTTCAGAGAAGTCCATTTCAGGCAGGAAGGAAAGACACAAAGCCAGATGGGCCCTGAGTCATGCCACTCCCCTGCTCAAAAGCTTCCTGTGATTTCTTGCCAGCCTTAGGGCAAGTCCAAATTCTTTACCTAGCATGCAAGGCCTCCTGTTCCCAACCCCTTCTCATCCCCTGGGAAGTTTGTACCCACAAGCCAGTAGAGAGCCTGACAAATAAACGAGCCCCAGTCACCACGTGCCACTGGGGACACAGAGGACAGTAGCAGGAGCAAGGCATAGGCCAGCCCTGACTTGGGGGACATGGGAAGGAAGAAGGACATCTAAGCCAAGACCTGGAGGACAAGCAGAGATTTCTCCAGGGTGCAGGCTGCAGCATGGCCTCGAGGGATGGACAGCATCAGGAAAGGGTGTTCCTGGCAGAGGGAACAGCAGGCACAAAGGTCTGGAGGCTGAAATGTACTAAGGATACAGTTCTAAAGGCTGGAGAGGTCAACAAAGACCAGTCTCTGAGGGGCCTTGTGGGCTACAGTTGAGGGTGTGTGCTTGAGAGGAGTGAAGGACCTTGGAAAGGCTTTAAGCAGAAGGTGACGTGAACTGGTTGGGGGTGGTGGTGAACTTGGGCATAGCGAGAACAGGGAGGGGACCAGTGTAGGCTTCCAGCTAGGTGGAAAGGCACTGGCTGGCCCTAGATTTAGAGCAGACAGATAGACCTGCTGACTGATGGACACAGAGGTGAGGGGCTGCCTGGAGGCGAGCAGACTCAGGCTGGGAATCAAGGGTCCAGATTTGACCGCGCTGAACAGGGAGTCTGCTTCTCCGTCTCTTATTTCCCCAAGGCGTTGTGGCCATTTATCCTCCACCAACAAACAATACCTGGGAATGTCCTTCTCACCGTATCTTTGTATCTTTGCCAGAGCTGAGTGCCATCAATTTTTAATCTGTTGGGTGGAAGTTGTAACTTCTGGTTTTATTTATTTATTTTTTAAGATTTGATTTATTTATTTCAGAGGGAGAGAGAACGCATTAGCAGGGAGAGGGGCAGAGGGAGAAGGAGAGGCAGACTTCCCACTGAGCAGAGAGCCCAATGCAGGGCTCAATCCCAGGACCCTGCAATCGTGACCTGAGCCGACGGCAGATGCTCAACCACTGAGCCACTCTGGTACCCTTTAACTACTGGTTTTAATTAACATTTTATGTCTACTCAAAAGGTGGAATATTTTCATAAGTGCTACCCATCATCTCTGGATAGCAAGGCTGCAATGAAGACCGCTCCAAGTCATCTCCTGTTCAGGGGTGTAGAGCGCTCAGCTGTATGCTTAGGTGTCCCCAGAGACTGGAGTGAGGACAACAAAACAATACCACTTAGAGCAGGAGAGCCTCACTGTGTGACCTCAAGCAAGTTTTAGAACCCCCTTGAACTTCCATTGTCACCTTTGTATAGTGCAATAATAATAACATTTACCCTCTACATATTTTTTTAAAGATTTTATTTATTTATTTGACAGACAGAGATCACAAGTAGGCAGAGAGGCAGGCAGAGAGAGAAAGGAGGAAGCAGGCTCCCCGCTGAGCAGAGAGTCCGATGCAGGACTGGATCCCAGGACCCCGGGATCATGACCTGAGCCGAAGGCAGAGACTTTAACCTACTGAGCCACCCAGGCACCCCGTCCCTCTACATATTTTAGGAGGATGAGGTGAGATAGTCCATGTAAAGTGTTTGGCACAGTGCAAAGCATCAGAAACTCATGGTTGTTGGCTAGTTAATCGTGAGTGGACCCAAGCTTTGGGGCAAATCCAGATTACAAGGCCAACCTCCACCTCCTTTTTCAGTCCTATGAGACCTCAGGCTGGTCATTGCCCCACTCTGGCCTTCTGAGCTTCCCTCAGCTCTCCACATGGCAGGACCACATGAGAAGGCTTTGTAAACTGCAAAGAACAGGACACATGGGAGGTTTGAGATGGCCCGTTGCCCCCACTGACCTGCCTCTGTGCCTGCAAGCTCACCGTTAAACCACCCCGTTGTGCCCAGATATTGCTTCTGTCAGCCCTGCAGAGACCTGGAGACGGGCATAGAGAAGTACTTTTGGCCAGCTGCAGCTGGAGGGACTAGGGTGCACTCCATCTTGTCAACTCCAAAAGCTATTACCGAAGCCAGGTGTTTGTAAATCTACTTTCCGAGTGCAACCCTGAGATTTTCACTCAGAGGGTGGGCCTAGGAACCTGGGTGGGTTTTGTTTTTTGTTTTTTTTTTTTAAGATTTTATTTATTTGACAGAAAGAGACCCAGCGAGAGAGGGAACACAAGCAGGGGGAGCAGGATCAGGAAAAGGCTTCCCACCAAGCAGGAAGCCTGATGCAGGGCTCAATCCCAGGACCCTGGGATCAGGACCTGAGCCGAAGGCAGACGCTTAACAACTGAGCCACCCAGGTGCCCCAGAAACCTGGGTTTTAACATGATTTCCCCCACATGATTCTGATACACAGCCAAGTTCAGTAATACTTGGATCATATTTGCTTTCTGTCATTTGCAGAGTGAGCCCCAGGGGATCAGAACACAGAACAATTCAGTCTTGATAAAGGAGAGGAAGAAAGGACAGGGGTGCTTCAGGAAAGGGCAACAGATGCGAGGCAATTCGTTTGTTCTTGCTTTCTTTCCTTTTTCTTGTTTTCTTTTTTCTCTTTCTCTCTCTCTCTTTCTCTCTCTCTCTCACACACACAATACTCACTTGGGGCTTGAGCCCCAAGGACACTCAGCTCTCACTTGGGGCTTGAGCCCAAGGACAAGCCCACATGGCACATCCAGCCCTTCGCTGTGAGAGGACCTCCAAGATGGGGAGCTCACAGGCTTAGGTTTAGTCTCAATGTTCCAGAATCTTAATGCAACCTCTGGCAAGGCTCAAACCCTGAGTCACATGAGCACGTTGAGACAGAGAATGGCTGCCCTCTGAAGCCCTGGCTTGGAAATTTACCCAGAATAAAATGTATTTATTATTTACTCAGATCCTTGAGTAACCCACCATCCAGCATTTTTCATGGCAATCATTAACAATCAGTTAGATAAAGCACTGGGTTTAGAAAAACGTCTATTATAAGAACCTGTGTGTCAGTTGATATGAAAAAATTACAACAACCAGAGCGCCTGGATGGCTCAGTGGGTTGAATATCCCATTCTTGATTTCGTCTCAGGTCAAGATCTCGGGGTTGGGAGATCAAGCCCTGCACTAGACTCCATGCTGGGCTCTGTGTTGGGTGTGGAACCTGCTTGACATTTTCTCTCTCCGGCTCCCTCTGCCCATCCCCCATCCTGCACATGCACAGGTGCTCCCTCTCTCACTCTCTCTAGAAGAAAGGCGGAGGGGGGGTGTGTGCCTATGTGGCTTAGTCAGTTGAGTGACCAACTCTTGGTTTCAGTTTCAGCTCAGGTCATGATCTCGGGATCGTGAGATCAGGGCCCCCAAGGGCTCTGTACTCAGTGTGGAGTCTGCCTTGAGATTCTCTCTCTCTCTCTCCCTCTGCCCTTTCCCCTGCTCATGTGCATGCTCTCTCTCTAATAAATAAATCTTAAAAAAAAAAAAAAAAAAGAAAAGAAAGAAAAGAAAAGAGAAGGGAGCCTGGGTGGCTCAGTGGGTTGGGCCTCTGCCTTCGGCTCAGGTTGTGATCTCAGGGTCCTGGGATCAAGGCCCGCATCAGGCTCTCTGCTCAGCAGGGAGCCTGCTTCCCCCCCTCTCTCTGCCTACTTGTGATCTCTCTCTCTCTCTCTGTCAAATAAATTAATAAAAAATCTTAAAAAAAATGTTAAAAAAAGACAACCACCACCCTGGGGGTCTAATTGTTGAGAACAGGGCATCCACTGTTAGAACACGAACAGCTGTTACTAGAATGCTGGGGTGTTAGTCATTAGAACAATGTCCACCACTGAGAGAAGCCCAGTCATTCCGAACACTCTGGGAATCCCATGGATCAGGTGACAGAACATGGGATAGCCTTTGCTAGGGCCCTAAGGATCAGGGGTTTAGAGATTGGAGTATCCATTACACCAAAGTCCGGGTGTTAGTTGTTGGAAAACTGGCCATGAGCTGTCAGACAATAGCTGTTTGAAACACAGAGTGTCAGGTATAAGACTTTGTGGATGGCTTAGAACAGACTACAGGGTAGTAGTTAAGAAGGGAAAAAGACCAGTGACTAGTTTGGATAATGACTAGTTTGGGGCCAGAGCAACAAGGGAACCAGCAGAGAATGGAGCAGAATAAGCAGACAGGGTCTCCTGTAGCCAGTCAGATGGGCCCAGCCCCAACTTCTGAGAACAGCCATTCTCAGGGCTGGCCCAGCAGGGAGAAAAGGTGAGGAGGTCCAAGAGCCAAGCTCCACAAATGTCCACATGGGAGCGATCCCTGCCCCTGGGGAGAGCATGGTTGCTTGGGGAGAAAAACAACCAAATGAAACAACTCCAACCCAGTACTATAGTCCACATGGATAGAGCTTTGGAGAAGCACAGAGGGGAAGTGCACAGCAGAGGGGGCACCATTTGAGCAGAGCCTTAAGCATGAGTAGGATTTTGCCAGGCAGAGGACAAAACATTTGGCAGAAGGGACAGAAGCAAAGGGGCTTAGAGGTGAGAGGGAAGGGTCCATGTGTATTTGGAGGAAAGGGTGGCCAGAAGAAGGCTAGAGGGAGAAGGTCTGGGGCAGTGCAGGTGAATCTGGATCTTATCCTGAGCACAGCGGGGCCCAGGAAGGTTTTAAAGGAGGGGAGGGAAATGGTCAGGTTTCTGTTTTCTCTCAATCCAGTGTGGAGGATGAGTTGGAAAGGATGTAAAGAGGCTGGGGCAGTGTCCTGGCCAGAGGTGGTAATGGCCTTTGCAGGGCACCAGCTCTGGAAGAGAGGAGGAGGGCTATTTAAGAGCTGTTTGGGAGGCAGAGCAGAGACTGAAGGGAGGAAGGGGACATGAAAGACAGGGAGGTGCTCAGGGTACCCAGGTTTCTGGCTTAACAACACCAACAGGGTCTCCAATAGGAGCAGGGAGCCTCTCCCGCACAGACTCATGGGGGTAGGCTCCAGGCGGAGGGTAGACCCAGGGGAGCCAAGCCGCCTCCCACCCCTGGACCCTAACGCTAGTGAAAGCCACTCGAACACAGGCAGATACGCAGATACACACACACACACACACACACACACACGCACACACACACACCACCCCCACCCCCCTAAATTTTGCGTTTGGCTCTATTCCCTCAACTGCGGAACCTGGGTTTGCAATCATTCTCCCCTCCATGGCCATCCCATTGGGCCCAAACTCATACGGTGTCCGCAGGGATCTTCAGGAGGCCTGGGGCCGACCGCCTCCATGTATCTCAACACTCAAAAACAATACAAGTGGCTGAACTTCCGGGAGGACGGTCTGTACCTGAACTTGTACTACGCGCCAGTGCACGCGCGCGGGGACGCTCTGCTGCGGGCGAGTGTTCGTCTCCATGCGCACCGCCCCTTGCTCAGGCCTCGGCTCTCCCCACCCAGGTGATGGTCCGGTGCCCAGGAGTCGCCTTCCTCGTGGGCTCTGCTTCCGCATATTGTGCCTATGAACACGGCGCCGGCGAGAAAGTGGTGCTGGTGCTGCTGCAGCCGAGGCTCGACCTCCTGGGCTTCCCGAGGTAGGCGAGGCCGGGGACCAGCACGAGGAACCAGGGACCCGGCCTCCTCCGAACTCTGGCTCAGGGAGGAGGAGGTGCGGGCCAGATGGAAGGATAGGGGAGGGGGCTGTGGGGGCGCGGCTGTGAAGCGTGCGTGCTGGGGCGGCGCCTAACTTCACAGGATGCTCCAATGGAGAGGGACCTAACTCTAGGGGAAAGAGGTATGGTCCCAAGACCGGGTGTCTCAGGGACGCGCCGCCGAGGCTAGGCGAGGCGAGGCAGGGCCAGGCAGAACCAGGCAGGATCCCCTGAGCAACCAGACGGTCGGGGCTTCCGGACCCTGATTATCCCAGGGGAGATGATGAGATGAAACAGAGGCAGGAAGAAAGGAATGTGGAAGGTCGCTGCAGAGGGATGCAGGAGGCCAGATGGGCAGGATGGGGCAACTGGGTAGATGGGTGGGCAGAGCTGATAGGAAAGGCCCCTAGGGCTGGGTGGATAGTGCGGGGTGAGGGAAACCACCGCTCCATTGACCGACGGTAAGGCAGTTCCTAATCTAGAATGTTCCCCGAAATGAAAGTCTTTTGGTATGGAAGCAATAGTGGAAGGAGCAGGGTGGGATGTTAGCATTCCACGTTCTCTTCCAAATGTCACATCCTATTCTGGCCCCCAGACATTCCACAGATGAGGAAAAGGTGCTGAGT